CTAAATGTTACACTAATTTTTTCACAGAAGAATTCAAAAGCTTTAATTAATGACTATAAAATGCATCTGGCCATTTGGATATGCTGGTTTGCTGTTCATTAGTAAATCAAATTAATCTTGTCCAGATTGTATTTCTGTGCTACAGATAAATACATCAGAAGATGAGGACTATGTTGCCATGTACTGGGGTAGTAGGAAATTGGGCATGAAAATAAGGAAAGAAGCAAAAAGAAAAATCCATTTCAAAGTTGGTGTGGCCTGAAGGTGTTTGTGGGACGAGGCTCAGTGTGAATGCAGCTCATGGCCTCCTGGCACCATGCAGCAGAAACAAGTGCACAGCTTCAGTCTTTCTTTGGAGTGTGATGATTGGAGAGCCCTTACATCCTTTTCTTTTCAGGTCTTTCGAGGAGGAATAATTCCAGAGAAAAACTGCCATGCAGTGAGTCAGATGTTGGTAGTTTTGTTTTCATGGTTGGTACTCTGCATGCTGACCCTTCACTTCTTACTTGGGGTTACTTGGTAGCAACCAAGAAACAAGAAGGTGATTTGGATAGGTTTTCCCAGAAATAGCATCTCTGAGCAATAAAACTGGGCCAAGCTGTGTCACTGTATATACGCAACCAGCAAGATTCAAGTGTTCCTTTCAGTTTGGTTCTAAAATCCTACCAGAATGCCCGTGTTTGAGCCTTGCAGCTCAAAGGACACAGGCTTTTCCCTGAATAAGGAATATGAGCAGAGAAGGGGAGTGCAAACCAGCTATTAAAACCTACTGAACTAATTTGCTAAGAGGCTGTCAAAGTTCTCATTGTCAGTATTACATTTGCACATTCTCCGAGTTTAATATTCAGTTGGGTACTAAAAATCATTCAGATTTTTCTCTCAATTGTAGGCGGTGTATCCCCCTCTCACGAGTCTGGAAGCATCTTGGAGTTGACATCTCAGCAGCAAAACAGGATCCTGATGTCAACAGCAAAAAGCCACTTGAAGGCTGAGTGTTACAGCAGTTACTTACATGAGGTCCCTTGTGAAATGCAGGGAGAAATCCTGCTAGTAACTTGTTTTAGAGATGCACAACTGTCACCAACTGTGTAGCTGTGGTTACAGTTGCTTGGAAATATATTGTTATTACCTAAGGAACGGAGTCAAAACCTGCTCAAGTACAGACGACCTGAGGTTTTCCTGCAAAACCAGCAAGTTTTCCAGGACGTATTCATGTGCCTTGCTTCACAGCCAGAGGAGCAAAGCCGAGGTAAAAGCCATGAACTGAATCTTCCCCAACTGTCACAGGGGTTTGAAATTCCTTCTGGGAGAGAGCATTGTTTGTACCATTTGCCGTCTTCCACCTAAGCCCCTGGAAGACACAGTGGGAGACTGCGATGATTTGCATCCCTCTGTGTATATCAGGAGGCAAACTAGGAACAAGTCTGGGAGACAGCTTCTGTCTAGGAAAAAAGAGACCACCTCTAACTGGCTATGGCAGAGGTCTTGTCTACGAACACCACTGCAGGCTTTGGGAAGTGCTGCCAAGAGAGCAACAGCATGGGGTAGCCCAGGGCCTGAGGAGGGAGAGCTCAGGGGACAGACAGTCGGGATAGAAGTGGAACTGAGCTGGCATGGCTCTGCTTGGGAGCTGGCACACGGAGCCTTCTTCCCTGAGTAATTTCCCATACTGCGTTAATCCTATCCTGAAGGAAAGGCTGCACTGTTCCCTTTTCCCAGTGCAAGCTGCTCCCACCAGGGAGCCCATCTGGGTCTTTTTGTATAACATTATACGGTGTATAAAAATTGTGTGCTCTTTACAAATGTTTTTTTAAAGGTTTTGCAGCCACCGTCGCATGTGTACCATCTTTCACATGTTTATCTGATACTTTCATAAGATGCCCGTGAGCAGGGCACATCCTTCCCTGTTTCATCGCCCTTTGCACTATATGCAGTGCTTCTGTGAGCCAATTTCTCCCCACCTGGAAAGAAAACGCCTCGGGTGACTGCAAGAAGCCCCCTCACTCACGCTGCAGCCACACGGGCTCCGCTCCCCCTCTCCCAGCCCACACCACGGTTTGTAATTGGATAGAGGACGGGGCACTGAGGCTGTGCCTGGGCACCGCTGTGCTCCCCCGGCCCTCGATGTGGCCGCGAACCCGCCGGGAGCCCCGATGCCGGGCAGTGCGACGGGGCCGCCTCTAGGTGGGGCAGCCCGCCCGCCGCAGCCGGGGCTCCCCGCGGGATGCGGAACTGGTTGGGGGGCTGTCGGCAGGGCTCCCAGCGGGGCTCTAGGGGCTGCGATTGTGGGGCACGGCGGGGTGGGTGCTCCCCGCTGCCGCGTGAACACGGCGGATCCGCGCAGTATGTGGGGTTCAGCTGCCTCCAAACCGCGCAATGGCGGGAGCGGAGCCCTTGGCAGGGGTGCGGGAAAGGTGGAAGCTGTGCCCCCGCCTGCAAAATTTCAGGCGTTGCCCTGCCCGCCCTGCCGCCTCCTCCCGTGCCCCCCGAGCCTTTCACTGCCCCGTTTGCACCCCCGCCGCCGCCACTCCCGGAGGGGTGACCGTGCCCGCCGCCAGCAGTGCCCGGTGCCCTTGTCCTCCCGTGTTGCCCCAGCTGAGCGCGGACGGGCGCCGGCTGCGAGCCCCGCTCCGGGTGGGCAGCGAGGAGCAATGCCGGGCCGCCGCTCCCCCATCCCTCCCTCTGCTGCTCCGTCCCGCTGTTCGTCTACCCCGGAGGGGCTGGAGGGCGGGGGCGGAGGGACCACCCAGCTGGACCCTGGCCTCCACAGCCCCGGGGCCGCCGGCCCTGCCCGGCCTCCCTCCGCCGCTCCCCTGCGCCTTACCCCCGCTGCTGCTCTCTCTCTCCTGCCGGCCTCGTCCCCAGGCATTTCCTTCCCTGAACAGTAGTTTTCTGATCGGGAAGAGGGCGCAGAGATCGCCCCGGGAGGCGGGAGAGAGCAAGAAAAAAAAAAGGGGGTGGCAGGGAGTGCGCTGGGCAAATTAGCAAAGAATTGCAGCCATTGTAAAGTAACCGCAGGTATTTCCAAGAGCTTCGGAGCGAAACCTTGTAAATCAGGGATTTCACGAGTTGGAAGCTGCCTCTGCCGGAGCTCGGTGGGGGCTGCGCCGGGGAGAGCGCCTCTTCCGCCGCATCCCCGGTCCCAAAGGGCCGCCTGCTCGGCTGCCTGCTCACCTGAGCAGAGCCCTAGCACAGAAGCGGCCTTGCGCTGACTTCCTACTCTCATCCGTGCCCGGAGACCAAACCACAGCTCCCACCACCCGCACCTCCAGCCTTTTCCCCTTGGAAGCGTGGAGCCCTTCCTCTCTTCACGTCTAAGTTCACGCATCTCCTCCGATTCCCCAGATTTCACCTCTCGGCTATTTAGCACCCCTTAAAACGCACGCACAGGGTACCCTTCCTACACCTCCCGCACATCTCCGCTCAAGCGGATTTCTCGCAGCTTCCCCAGATATCTCTTACTTTTCTCCACCTCTTAAAATAAATTTCCATTTTGCAGGAAATACACTGAAGATATTTCCTGAGTGTATCGTGGCACCGAAGTCTTGGGTGGCAGAAGCGCTGGCTTTCCCGGGAAATACCTGGATGGGGAAAAGGGATAACGAGTAAATGCAAGAGGGGTTATTAAAACGGGCTGGACTGTTTGTAAGGTTGAAGCCTGCTCTCGCTCAGTCACGCAAAGGTGCTCTCCGGCTTCCCGACACAACTGCGCTGTGAAAGCAAGATTATTTACTTCGTTAATTTATTTTCCTGGTAAGAATAATGACCGAAAACATTTATTTGGTGCCGCACTCGTTGATAATCAATTGTGGTGGCTTCTCGGTCTGCTGAGAACAGACGCTCCTCTCTGGGGGTACAAGGAGGGATGTGCTGGTGGGGGACACATGCCAGAGAAGCAGCAGGTTGGCACCGGGAATGGGGTTCCAGAAAAAAAGGGGGAGTTTGGGGGGCTGAGGGTCAGCGTTCTGATACTCTCCAGCTCGTTATGTCGCCGCGTCACCCCAGCACCAAAAACGCGCGGTGGTAAAACGCTGATTTTTCATTTCCTGCGTACCTGCCGGATACCCTGTCCGGGATTTTCCTATTAGCTCCGAGGATGCAGATAGTGTCTGAAACAAGGGGAGCCGATGTGCTTGGGGAACCCAGCGGTTTGGTAACGGGCCGCGTCGATACCGTTCACACGTGTGTGATGGTTTCCAAAAGCGTACTGTTTAGGGCCGTTCCCTTTCAGGGGAAGCACAACTTCTCGCAAATTAAAGTCTGCTTTCCTTGAACCTGCCATAAATTGTCCTCTTAAAAAGGTTTTTAAGAGACTCATGGACCCAAGACCGTCCCTGACAAAAGACCGAACCCATTTTTAAATCAGCGAGGTGCGGAAGAGCCCGTTTTCGAAAACCAGTCGAGGCCACTGCGCGCTGACACCCGCAGGGCGAGCGGCCGGAGGTTTGGGCGCTTTCCTCGACGCGCACACTGCGCTGGTCCCGGGAAAGACGCGCTCCCACCGCGGGGCGATGCGGGCCCGGATGGGGCGCAAGGAGGAGTCCCGCGGGCCTCAAGGGGTTAAAGCTCGGTGCGCCCCGCCGCGAGCCCCGCGGAGCCGCATCTCCCCGCTGCGGGGAGCCAATCGCCGTGCGGGCCGCTCGGAGGCTGCCCAATGGGAAGGCGCGGGGCCGGCGCTGTCAGCGCGGTGAGCGATGACAGCGCCGCCGGCAGAAAAAGGAGAGGGCGGGCGCGGGGCGGGACAGAGCGGGGCGGAGGCAGCCCCGCGCCTGCAGGGACCCGCGGCGGCGCCCGGCGGAGCGGCGGCCCCGGCGGCCCCGGCCCTATGGGCGGGCGGGCCGGCAGCGGCTCACACAGGCTGCCCCCGCTGGCGCCCGCCCTCCCGGCGGCAGAGAAGGGCCCGGCACCGTCGCGGCCGCTGCCGGCGATGCGGTCGCCCAGCTGAAGGCGCGGCGCGGTCCGCTGCAAGCCCGCGGGGGCCGCCCGCCAGCCGCCGGGCCATGGCCGTTCGCGGCGGCAACGCCCTGACGCCTTTCTCCATCCAGGCCATCCTCAACAAGAAGGAGGAGCGCGCCCGCCACGCCGCGGGGCGGCCGCCGCCACCCGGGCCGGCCGGTGGCTGGAGGCTGTGCGGAGCCGCCGAGGGCCCGCCGCTTCCATCGCCCGCACCCCGCGTCCCGGCACCGCGGACGCCAGCGGGCTGGGACTCGGACTCTGCGCTTAGCGAGGACCCTGAGGGCGAGCGGCGCTCAGAGGAGGAGAGCGCCGGTGCCAGCGCCCGCCCCGCCGAAGTCACAGGCAGCGGGCGGCCAGCGGTGGCAGAGGAGGCGCAACCCCCAGAGGCGGCGGAGCGGGACACCGCCGGCCTCAGTGACAGTGAGATGTCGGCCGCCGTCTCGGGTAGGGGCAGTCCCGGCAGCGCACTCGCGCGAGGGGAGCGGGTGGGTCCGGGAGGGGTATGAGGGGGATTTGAGAACGGGAGATGATCGGCTGTTTCCACCGGCCCCGCGGGTTTGTGCGGCGAGCTGCGCCGGGGGAAAGAGCACCCGAAACGCGTCCCGCGGGGAGAGGGAGGGAGGATCGGGGAGAGCCCTTTGCTAGGCCTAGCCCCCAGCCAGAGAGGGCGCCCGGCGCTTAACGAAGAGCGAGAAACCCCCACTGCCCTGGCCCGCGACGCGGTGGGCAACTCCCCGCCCGTCCCGTCGCCTCAGGCTACCCGGCTGCGCGGGTGCAGTCCCGCCGAGGAGTGGGGATGCGGGTGTCCCAAGTGCCCGCCTGCCCTGACCGCCGTGCTCTCGTCCTGCCTGCAGATCGCAGCCCCCCGGAGGAGGAGGACGGAGCGGGCAAGTGCGGGAATCTGTTGCCAGGAGAGGAGGAGGCAGCTGCGCCGAAGCCGCGGAAGAAGCGCTCCCGCGCAGCCTTTTCACACGCGCAGGTCTTCGAGCTGGAGCGGCGTTTCAACCACCAGCGGTACCTGTCGGGGCCCGAGCGGGCCGACCTGGCCGCCTCGCTGAAGCTCACCGAGACACAGGTGAAGATCTGGTTCCAGAACCGGCGGTACAAGACCAAGCGACGGCAGATGGCCGCCGACCTCCTGGCAGCTGCCCCCGCCGCCAAGAAGGTGGCCGTCAAGGTGCTTGTGCGCGACGACCAGAGACAGTACCACCCCGGCGAGGTGCTGCGGCCGCCCTCGCTGCTCTCGTTCCAGCCCTCCTACTACTATCCTTACTACTGCCTGCCGGGGTGGGCTCTGTCCACCTGCGCCGCAGCCGCCGGCACCCAGTGAGGGGCAAGCAAACATAACCCACAGCACCCCCACCACACACACTGGCAGCCAGGAAACCCATCTCCCCTTCTGCCACCTCCCATCCCTCCATCCGGCTGTTCATCCATCCATCCAGCCAGCCAGCCAGCTTCTCAAATCCAGAGCCCCAGCTGCAGCTCTCGGTGCCTCGGACAGTATTTATTATTATTTTATTGTTATTTTTATTATTAATATTATTTGGATGGTTCCTCACTCTCTCCTCTTCCAACGTAGGACTCGCGGGCCACCCCGCCCCGTTCCTCACCCCGTCCCCACCCTGCCAGCTGAGGACTTGCGCGATTCGGCACGACTAATTCATGGTATCCATGTTGTCAGTGTATTTGGTGTAGACTTTTTGTTTGTTTATTTCACTTCGGATTGGTAGGGACAAAGAGAGAGGAGGAAAAAAAGTAGAGGAGAAAAAAACCTCAAATAAAAGCAACCAACCCGCAAAACCAAACGCAGCTCAAAAGAGGAGATCAAGGACTCCCTCAGTGGATTGTAAGGAAGATTATTTTTGACGTCTGTTTGAGTCCTTGGTCTTCCAACTTGTTGCAAACTGATTATGCCTTGTATGGTGCTGAATGTAAGGAAGCCTCTTTCAGATCCCCCCTGCTCTTGTTGCCCATGTTATTCCTGTACTCCGTGAGCCTTGGCAAAGGATAAATATGTCACCAAAGGGTGAGACTTACATTGAAACGTCAGATTTCTTTTCTTTTTTTTTTCCTGAGATCTTTCCGTGTTCGGGGAGGGAGGAGTTACGGATTTTTCGCACTTTCCAGTTGTATTAAAGTTGTTATTATTATTTTTATATTCAATGTGAATATTTCTAGTCAGGCTTTTTAAGAAATCGATGTAATGGGAAATCCTAATACCATCAGTGCCTTTTAGAGTTCTTCTGCAGCCCTCTCCTTCAGGGGTGGGGATTTCAGATCTGCTCAGCAATGTAATTACACTCTCTTTCAAGGTAACTCATTGCTTTCTACTTTTTTCCCTTCTTTTTTTTTTTACCCCCTCCCTTTCTCTTTCAATGGCACTGTGCACTCAACTAGATTATTTACTTCGAATGAATTGTGAATGTTTGTAAGCTACCCGCTGTACTTTTGGGGTGGTATTTTTTTTTCCTTTCTAATTTATAAACTTTAGTTTAACACTTGGCTCTGCCGCTTGTGTCGTTTCTGAGAGTGGGCACGGATTTCCCCAGCGACCTTTTCCCCGCAGCTGACTTCAGGCTGTAGCACAGACCACATCCCGGCTTTCCCACTCGCCCGCAGGCTGGCAGCGGCTCCCCAGGGCCGCCTTGCCGTGCTCACGGGCAGCGCCGGAGCCGGCTCCTGGGTCGGTCCGGGAGCCTGGGGGAGTTACTTAACGCGTGTCCGGGATGGAGCCGCGGAGCTGCTGGTATAGTTTGCGGCTGCGCGGGTTACAGTGAGCCGCAGGGACATGGGATCGGTTTTCCCGGCAAAGGCGGCTTCGCTATGCAGGACGGGCAGTGCCTGCTGCCACAGCCCGCGTCTGTTTAAATACCCTGGCGGCTCTGGTAAAGGTGTGCGGATAGGAGAGCGGTTCTCTCGTTGCCGGAGCCCGGGGGGTCGGGCTGGGTCTGAAGGATGGAGCTGCGCACTCTTCGGAGAAAACGGCCGAGGCCGTTTGTATCCCGACACAACAGCGCTAGCCGCTGGGGCAGCCTCCCCCTTGGACCGAGCCCCCGCGGCGACACCGGGCCCTCGGCGCGGTACTGGCAGTGCACCCTGCCGCAGTCCGCTGTCCTCCGGCAGTCCCCGCCGGGGCCAGCGCGGCCGTACGAAGCGGGCAGTCTGTGCTGTGGGCAACGGCGTTCGGAGGGACGGGACCCGGTAGTAGCTGTGGTACTTTCTCCAAGACGACGGAGCCCTTTCACAGGCGGCAGCGCTTCCCGGCGCCCTCGATCCTCCATCGCTGCCGGCTTCTCTTCCTCCGCAGGTGAAACGTCCCCAGGGTCGGGCTGCCTCTGCTCAGAGGTTGAGATGACTCCGGCTGCACTCGGCGGTGGGGAGACGGGTGACGGCGACTCTAGCCCTCGGGGTTGGAGTGGCTCGGGGCGAGCACTCAGCTCCTAAAGCCATCAGCCGCCTTGGCACCGCGGGAACGCTTCGGATTTGGTTTTGTTCCGCCGGCGGGTAGGCGAGAGGAGCACTCCGGGCGTAGAGGTCCTGTGCGCTAGAGCCAAGACCTTGGTGGATGCGCAGAACTGACCCTTTTCCTTTTTTTTTCTTTTCCCTTCCTTTAACTATTTAATATCATCATTCCCCACCTCTTTCTCTCCTGGAAAAATTAAATGTTTGGATGTCAGGAGCACTTGGGAAGATGAGAAGGAGTCTCTGCTGCTGCGCAGACAGCTCAGTTTGCTCCTTTTTTTTTGTCCTTGGGGAAATCTCTCTGCCCGCAGCCCCGTGCTCCCCGGTAAGGTTTGCAACCCCACAGCAGACACCGGCCGCCGATTCCCACCCCAGCTTCGACGGGACAACTCATACCAGGGGAGGTGTAGCCCCCGGTGGGAATGGGGAGGCAAAGCGGTGGGGTGGCTTTCGGCGAAGCTGATAATGCTTCCTACCGGGCTCCTCGTTCGAGAGATAGGATTGTTTCGAAGCCTTCTTTTCCCTGTAGGTCGCCGTGTTTTGTTATTTTGCTTCGTGCTCGCTGTCGGATACAGTGCTGGAGGGAACCGCCTGATATGAAAAGAAAGCGTCTGTCATGAAAACTTCCCGGGGGGGGGGGGGGGTAACACAGGAGAACAGGCTCAGAATAAAGCCTCGGACTATTTTCCCTTGAACCCGGTAAAACCATGATGCGTTTTACTCAAGATAGAAATTGCTGGAAAAGTCGATCTGAGTGAAGTTACTTGGAATTTTAGGATTGTGTTTAGTATCGAATGTTTAAGCATCGAGGGTGACTTCGTTTGCCGTTGGCGAAATCCAATACTTGAGAAAGAGCAGTATTTTTGATAGGGAAAAATAAATCGATAATTTAATGTGATCTTATTGGAATTTGGAGGCGTTTCTATTCCTGTTTTTACTGATAATTTTACGATTTCAAATATAAAGCAAATGTTCTGAGGCTTTTTGTCTTTTCTCAGTGACGAAATCCCTCGCAACCCAAGGGGAACTGTACCAAGGCCAAAGGAATTAATCTGGATTTTCGAAGTTTAAATCATCAGCAAAACCTGGGCTCTAAAATCCCTTCTCCACCTCATCCCCCTCCCCGAACACGCGTTCAGCTCATCGGCACATACGGATGCAACATGAAAATAATGCCCCTAACGATATGTTCCGACTTCAGTCTCTCTCCCAAGCCCCAAATCCATACAAAAGCCGTAGGAATAATTTTCCATCCGGACATGGACAAACTCAAATCTTAAAAAAGGAAAAACGGTCGCAATAGAAAGAGAGAGAGAGAGAAACTGCCGCCGCTATGAGCAATTCGGTTGTTGAAATGTAATGTAAATTGTGTATACTTTGCATATGTCTCCATAGGCGCTTGTGTTTGTCTATTAAACACTAGCACAGGCGCGGAGACGAACTCTGCAACAGGGAAGCTGCCTGTATTTAGATACCTCCCGCTCGCTCGCAGGGCAATAAAACAGGAAACCACCAGAGATGTGTGCGCGTCCCTACACACTTGTCAGGTAGAATCAGCAGCGGGAAGAAGGGGAGGAGAAGCGGTAGAGGATGCCGGAGCGCAGGCAGCCCCCCCCCCCCCCCCCCCCCCCCCTCGCACACAGCACCTGCCCGGCCTCCCAGGGGCTCCGGAGAGCAGGGGGCAAAGGTGGCCCGGAGGTTAAGGGCCTCTCCACGGCAGGCCTGGGGCTTTGGCAGCCAATTTTCCGCTTCTCTTCTCCTGTCACTGGGGGGGCGACGCGCCCCGAGGGTGGCTCCCGGGCCGGGTCAGGGAGAACACGGCGGTTCCCCTGGGTCTGCAGCACCCAACCGGAGAGGGGACGTCCCGCGGCTGGGATGGTCCTCCCCGCGCATAGGGGAACACTGGGAATCTGGCGGAGCTGGGCAGCCCCAGAGCTGGGTCCTGAAGGGAAGCCTGAAGGTGGTGCAGTGGTGGCCCCAGCGAGCAGCCCGGGGCCATTCTTTTGCTGAGGTGATGGGGAAAATAAAGGGCAAGTCTTTCTTTCTGCCCCTGCCCCACCACCGGGGATGCCACCGCTGCCAGCCTGTCCGAAAGCCTTCCCAAAGCGGGCCCTTCTGCTCGGGGAATAACGTAATTTCCCTGGGGGCAAGGTAAACCAGGGAGCAAATGAAACATGTCCCAGCCAAGCCTCACACCATTAACGCGGGCACCCCGCACAGGGCTGAGACAGAGCCGAGCTCCCAGCGCCAGAGGCGAGCGGGGGGGGCCGCTGGGCGAAGAGGCTCATCCCAGAGACCCCCGGCCCTGCTCGTCCCTGTGCACCGCTCTGCGGTGTTCCCCCGCTCCGAGACCGCTCCTGTGCCTGGCCGAAGGACCGGGGAGCGGGCGGACTCTCATCCGCAGGTGGTACTTGTCGTTTTTGTAACTTATGGTTTGTATGTGTATTATTTCATTTCTTTCATTATTATTTTCTTTAAAGGAGGGAGAGAATACCGGCAATCCCTACGCAAACCCCCTCTCCCTCCGGAGGGCGAGCTCACTCACGGGACCGCCAGGAAGCGGGATGCCGCAGTGCCCGGGGGAGGCCAGGGCCGACGGATGCTGCCACAATCCCGGCAGCGAGGCCATCGGCCTTCCCGGAGCCCGACCGGCTCCAGTGGTCCCGAGGGGACAGCCCCGGGCGCGGGCTGAGGGTTTTGACTCGGCTGCCTCGGGGCGTCTGAAGAGCAATCCACACCTCTTTCCCCGGCTGTTTCCCCAGCTCTGTACCGTCTGGTCCCCAGTAATGCTGGGGAGGAGCGCAATCGCTGGGATGCTTCTTGGAAAACTAACAGCGGGGAGCTGTGGCTGCAGAGCTTTCAGGTGCGACAGGGGTTTTTTCCCTAAAATCTGACTCGGTAAAAAAGAGGCCGGCGCTCGGGCTCCCCAAAGACGCTGCTGACAGCCAGCACGGATCCTCCGCTGGGGCATAACTGCTGGTGAGCAGGGGAAGGCTTCTCCTTCCTCTTGGCTTGGGGAGCGCATGCGAGGGGCGGCGGCGGGTCTGCTGGACACGGTGGAAGACGACCTGCAGGGACTGCCTGCTGTCTGCAAAGGGGTGCCACCAGGACTGGTGACTGATGTCCCTCCCACCAGAGTAGGGACACAGCTGTTAATAAAAAATACATATCTAGGTAATAGTGCTCATAGGTATTTCAAGCTTCTTTTTTTTTTCCTTTCTTATAAAAAGAAAAAAAAAAAGAAGGCCTGTGA